ATTTCCACAGCATTGAGGACACTTAATTCCAGTAATCAGGAGAGAGAGATGTGAACATATAGGTCTAGCCTCGAGTGGGCTAGGTTTATCTAAGCCAGAAAGCAGAAGCGTGATTTAGGGTGATATGGTGATGGTGAAGGGGGTGGGGTTAAAGCACGTACCCTCGGGTGAGACTAGCGATAAATTTTGTGACTAGGGTCACGAAAATTGCAGTTATAAAGGGGAATGGTGTATAGACTCATCGAAGTAGTGGGACAAGTATTGGAGAGGTTTGAAGTACAAGGCAGGAATAATGGTATTTGGGATGGAGACGTCGAGGGAAGGGTGAGGTACCTACGGGCAAGTAGGTAGAATTCTTCCCTACATGACTTTAAGAGTAGAAATGGTTTTCTTGTAGCTTGATACTGATCGGAACGATTTTAGTTCTATTATAAATTTAATTGTTTTGTACCTTGTCCATAATTGTCCTTCGCTGGTCCTTTACAGCATGCGTAATTCTTTCATGCGAAAGCATGTAAACTTTCTGCTATAACTTTCTTCATTTTTATAGCAAACTTAAGAGCACTTAAGTGCACCTAACAGAAGGTAGTTAATAACAAATCAGCGCATTTCTAAAATAAATTTTTCTATGTTTTACAATATTTTCATTGCATTCCATTTATATTCTAATCAATTTGCATTATCGACTAAATCGTATATAAATAATTCATGCACTACAATGAACTTACCAGTGCTTTCAAAGGATATTGAAAATTGCAAAGTTTGAAGTGACAGCTCATGGGGTTTTAATACGATTTTCAATTATTTTCTCATTTATATTTCTCATTTGTACTTATTTTTTAATTAAGTAATTTTTTTTTATATTTTTTTCTGTTGCAGTACGGAGTGCAACTTCAAGTATCCACCAATGGAACAATCTATCGTGTTGGCGTCTACTTACAATCACTGCAATATTAACGATGACTTGTCAATTACTTCTACGCAGCGTCTTAACCTAAATAGCTGAAATTGTATTTTAATTCCTTTCGTTGTTACGGAAACTTAAGTAAGGACACTTAAAAATTTATTTTTTCTCATGTAGCAATTTTCCTATATATATATATATATATTATTGAACTTCAGTCATAAATTTATTTACAACAAAATTAAGCTGAAAAATGTGTTATATAGCAAGTAAATGTAAATGTAAATAAAATATTTATTTATTGGAAAGTAAACTCATAAGTATGTAATATTATTGAAAACAAATTATTTGTTATCTTTGTTTCACCTTAAGTATTAAGTGTCGTTGTATGTATATAAAATATGTGTGAACAGCTGTGCTTTTCCATGGTAAACAATTTATTCTTCCTGCGGTTTAAATAACATTTCGACAATTGAATTATTAATAAATGTTAAATGGATTTTGCTATATTTTCTTACCATACCAACGTCCTGCATCGTCCTGCATCGTCCTGCAAAGGAAATCTAGTATCAATTTTGGCACTGAACTATTTTTGTGTTTGTGAGATATTTTTGAAATTAAAAATTTAGTTTTCTTCTGCATACTTATAATATATTATTATTATTGTTATAAAGCATATTGATTTGTTAAAAGCACAAACAGTTATAAATTATTTTAAGACTTAAGTCAACATTGTAAAATCACATATTTTAAAAACATTTTACGCATTAACGCCTCAGATATTTTATTTGGATTTAAATTAGATGAAAGGACTTCGAGTTTAAATGTGCATATCGTTCAATTAAATAAGAATTTATATTTAACAATTAGAAAAGAAATATTTTTGTCATTATAAAAAAAAATAGTAAAAGATAAAGAAAAACTTCATTAACCAAAATGAAATAAAATTCTTTAAAGACCAAACATTGTAAATCATATAATGCAGAACATTTCTCGTCCTCTAAGTTGCTTCTCATCTTTAATTAACTAAGATAAATGTTTATGTTTCAGGTTGTTTGCAAACGCTTAAATGAGAGAAATATTTAATTTGCTTTAAAAGTTAATGTTGTGAAATATGTAAGAACGTTTTACTTTGTATCAAGTGTAAATAAATATATAAAAATAACAGAAAAATTATACATAAATATATATAGTATATAAAAGGAAATGACTCAAGTATAAGAATTTGCAAATAAATTGTTTCAAAGCAACTAAGATGTTGTTTTTATCAATATAATTAAAAAATTTTAAAAACAAAATTATTATATTTTTATTTAGACTTAATTACTAAAAAAATAAAATTTAATAATTTTTACTAAATAATTAAGTGAATTAAATTTTTTTTATAATATTAAACTTTTTTACTTCTTACTAAAAAGCATTTAATTATTTTATACCAACTTTTATATATAAGTTAGTTAATACCATAATTATTAAGCATTTTTAAACTAAGTTGTTACTAACTATCTATTGTATATTTTATTTTTAAATTAAGAATTTAATTCTTTGAAATATGAATTAGATTAAATGACGAACATAAAGTGATAAATAAAATAAATTTATTATATGTCTAACATAAAACTTTTGTTTATTTATTATTAATTTTTAAATTAAATATTTATACGTAAATTTTTCATTGGTCTAGAGCCCTTCTGTGGGGCAACTAATAGCTACACAAATAACTTAATGTATGAACATTAGAAACGAAATCAACTTGAACACTGATCCTGATCACATCAAAGTGCTATATTTAACCTTTTAATTTTTTAATACGTAACCTTTTATTGAACCAGAACCTTCTAAAGGGTAACAAATAGCTTCAAAAATAACTTAATATGAGCACAAGGGAACCGAAATCAACTTGAACTCTGGAGACTCCAAACAGGCATGCGGCAGTCAAGAAGCTTCATTGATCTTGAATACATCAAAGTGCTATCTTTAACATTTTAATCTTTTAATACGTAACCTTTTATTGGTCTAGAACCCTTCTGTGGGACAACAAATAGCTTCACAAATAACTGAATATGTGAAAGAGAGACACGAAATATACTTGAACACTGGAGAGCACAAACAGGCAAGCGGCAGTCAAGAAGATTTATTGATCCTGAGCACATCAAAGTTGACGCTATCTTTAATCTTAGCAGAAACGATTTTGAAGTCCACACTGTACTTCTTATAGGACACTGTGGACTTCATTACTACATGAATAATATAGGTGCGGTAGAAAGCAGACATCTGAACATGTTCTACCTAACTGCCTCGTAGTGGCAAGAAGCTAGCTGTGGAAGTGGTCCCAAATCAAATAGGTAAAATTAAATCCACAGTAAATACGAGATTTATAAATAGTCTAGAATTGTTTT